TTGTAAAAACGTAAACTTCAGAAGTTGATCGGTTTCAACATTTTTGTCATTCCGTGGGGTTGTATCAACCACTCCCTACTTCTAACAATAATTATGAATTCACTGCAATCGACCTTGCAATCACTTCCCGCCAATCTAATATGAAAGCTTGGGAAGTATAGTTGAAGAACACGGCTCTACCACTTAACTTCAATCTTCACTTCAATCAAATAGATATGCTAGCACTACGCTTTTCAACATATTCTACAAAGAGCGACAGCTCTGTCTTAAACAGCTATGAGATGGCTCGGAAACGCTGGCTTGCGTGGTTACATTGGTCTAGGAACAAGAATGTTTATCGGAATAATCCCGCAAGTTGTGGACTCGGCTCTGAACTAACACGATTTTTGAGAGACTTATTTTTAACAGTAGTTTTTACATGATATACCAATGGATGATAAGTCTAATTACCTAAGCTCACCTGTCTTGGCAAACATATATATATTGAAGTCGATTGTTTTTTAAAGAATCAGTCCGTAACCTACTATTCTGTGTCTATAAGTTAACTTATTTCCTTTTCTTCAATAATGTACTCGTTACATCATAATGATCTGTTTCAAATACTTCGTCATATATGTTGTTCTGAACGTCATACAGTAATTATGCTGCGTATTATTTGGTTCATTGTATTTGTTTCATTGCTGCATTGTATTTGTACCGACGAAGATTAGTTTAGCCTTGTTTTGGTTCAAAACAGGTGAAAGTAGTTAAAGAAAATCCGATTGGTGACTTGTACCGAATAATGGTAATCGTAAGTGGGACCCTGATTTTTGGTACTTATGTAAAAAGTACAGTCTTGTAAAATGTAAGACTCAGTATCGAACAACTTTACATCTTTTTCTCGCGTTCGTACGCCTTATTTGTGATATACAAAGATACAAATTAATGCTACACAAGGAAGCGTCCGGTCATTAACAAAGCAAATATATGTAGAAGTATATATATATATATATATGTATATATATATACTTCGCGAGTTTTAAGCAAAGGAATATAGCGATCAGCTAATACATATGTTAAAGCAGCTTCGTAAGCTTGAAGAAATTAAAGGCGTGATTCAAATAATATTATTTGATTCACTTTTAAGCTTACTCGTTTCTTTATACAGTTTCATATAATCTGATAAATGTTAATATTTAAATTTATCATAAATTGTCACATTGGCGTATATATCTATGTACGTGGCGATCACCAGGCGATAACAAACAGGTCTCAATATAAAGCTTTCAGTGACGGTCAAGTAGTTTAATAGCAGCATTTTACCTGAAATAAAATGCATATTAAAATACTTACCTCACTGAAAGCTTTCACTTTAAATTCTGCCTGGTGAAATAATTGAGCCAATGAGTTAATATGGCGCTGTCAAAACATAGGAAAACAAAAATGGCCGCGCTTCTGCCAGGTGTCGCCACTGGACCGGATACAAGGTGATTAAAAGTACGGAAACTGATGGTAATTCGACGGGAAACGGAAGTGCTATCTCAATATAAAGCTTTCAGTGAGGTAAGTATTTTAATATGCATTTTATTTCAGGTAAAATGCTGCTATTAATTCATCAACTTTAAGTGTTTTATTTTGATTGAGAGATGTATGATTGCAGAAAGGCAATCATAAATTCTGTGCTAATACAGATTACGCACTATAATGTAGATATATTTTTATTTGATCTTACGTTTATAAAGGTTTTCGAATTTTTGCTATCATTGTTACCATTAACTTTATTACTGCTCGAATTGTAATTAGGAAACGGACGAGAATGACCTTGAAGTTTCATATTTGAATTTGAGGTGTCCTCGAAGTTGTTGCCGACACTCGGCAACTTGTTTACATGTTCATTGCGACGCAACGATTCGAGTACATCGGCATGGTCAACCAGAAACTTCTTAAATTGTTCTAAAGAGGGAATGTCATCCAAAGTATTGGGAAATTCCTCCTATTTAATATTCGTTCACTATCCAATTTTGACGAAAGACTGAAAATTATAAGAATGTTGGGTTGGAAGACCAAGTGCACGAAGGTTTTTAGTAACATGATCAACAAGGAAACGGAATGATCTTTCCGATTCTCGAATTATGAGATGAATTTTAAATAATGATTCTAAATGATGATAATGAGAAGCCTTTTACTGTCGTAACGATCACAAAGAAGCTGCCAGGCTTCCTTATAATTAGTAGAAGATACTTCCAAATTTGTAATGATATGCGCTGTTAGGTGTGTTGGTTTTTTGTGAATTAAATTCGTAAAAATGTCACGGAACTCAAGCCAGCGGAAGTATATCCGTCAATTTGAATTTGTGGCAACCTTATACCCAATTCTATGTCAGTGCACTCATGAATAGCCTTTTTTATCGAACCATAATTTTGTTTGATTATAGCTTTAGCCATTGCAATGCCTTGAATAAACAAATTCTCAATGAGCTCACTTTCATCAATCTCACATGATAAATTATCTGAATTTATATCTTCTATCTCATCCTGCAAATCATCGAATCTGGCTGACAAGCTTTCAAATTTATTCATTTTTAAATTTAATTCTGCAATTTCTAAATCCATTTTTTTCTTGATGTTCTCAATTATCTTTTCTATATAATTTTTAAACTTAGTTGTTTGTCCCTTTATAGTACTGCGTTTTGTATAAAGAGAATTTAAATTTGTTGTTGTTGCAATTAAATTAGAAACAGCTGGATTAGGTGATAATGAAGTAGCCATTTTTGACACCAAATAAATAGGAGAACTACAAAAATGCTTATTCAGTCACCAAAATTCGACGACAAAAGAGGAAATATTGAACTTATTTTCGAAGAAAGAAAAATTGGTAAAAAAATAGGAGTAATTGAATAGGCATATCTGACAGTCCCAATTCGCCGGAACGTCTCAGCGGGTGTCCTCCGGTAACGCAAGCGGTCGAACTCCAAAAGCTCTGCCACCTTTCCGCACCACAAACGATCGGATGAGAAACAACCAAATAATACTTTTGTGACACTAAAATGCTCTATTTGTTGACTAACAACTGATGATTAATTATTAAATAATTTAAACTCTTCCTTTTTTATTTTATACTGTTTCGAGGAATTCTTTTATTTCTATATTAAATCCAAATATAAACAAAATTACACCCCTAAAAATCCTACGAGTGTGTGAGAAATATTTATTTATTTCTTACATTTATATATCATAGTACAAAAATAATCATAGTAATTTTGAAGGCAAATTCGAAGTACAATATTAATTGTGTTAAACATCTTTCGGAAGCCAAATCTGCCTGGTTCGCTTCAACCACTGTTCAGTTTCGTGTCCTTCTAGTATAGGAGATGCCTTAAACGGGTTGGTTAGTGATTTCTCTATAATATCAAACTTGTCAACGTCGACAACGATCATTATGTACCGACAATGTGACGTAATTATTACACAGGAGCGCTATATGTTAAATTTAATCCATTGTTATGTAATTAATGTCACACAGTGGTGTCGTAAATACATCAGTTGTAAATTGGAACCGAGCGAGCATTATGCACGCTCATGTGTTGCGGTTAACAGCACGACGTTGGCGTAGTTCATATTTGAATGTGGATTTAGCGTGAAGTTAGTGAGTTATGTATTTTGATCTGGTGAATACAATAAACACTATTTCTATATAGGTATATACTGTATGACACAATAATCAAAATGTAATTGGACGTTGTTTTGGTATTAACGTGATTTTATGTAAATTTTGCTACTTCTGTTAAATGCTGACGAGTTTCTTGCGCCCGTTCTTCTCATCAGTTAATAGATGTGGTATTAAAAAATAATGGACGATTCAAAAGAGCTTTGAATAAGTGAATTCGAAAAAAAGTATAATTTAATTACGTTTCATAGCCCACAAGCTGTACTTTGTCCCCAAATAAAAACTTAACAATGTTACGGAATAAAAGGAATCCTTGTAGAATCTTCCTGTTGTCTGTCCGTATGTTTATCAGTTCATTGCTTTGTTTACCTGTCAATCAGTCAATACTCTTTTTCTCAGAAACGCTTAGCAGGATACCTTCACGCGTTTCTGAGAAAAACAGAACAACAGAGATAGTAACAGCTGTTCTACTATTGTAAAACATTTCACAACGTATGAGAAGAAGAATCAAAATTCAAAATCAAAAATTGTTTATTCAGTTTAAGCTGTTAGAAGCATAGATGCCTAGAAGATATGCCATCGGTTCTTAAATCTACAGCAGGAGACCTTGTACCGTCAAGAACGGGCAAGAAACTCAGCAAGGGCTGTGTTTTTCTCCCTGCATTATTATATAAAGAGCCGTCAAGTTCAAATATAACTTTATATGAGTGTTTGATGACTTTACCTTTCATTAAAGAACGTCAAATATACAAAAAATATTCACCTGCATTTTGATTGGTGTGTCATAGAAAAAACATTCCTTATGATTAACCCTTTCGATTGTTTATTATAAAATACGTCTTGTATTTTTTTTTCATATTTAATGAGTTCGATTCCCAGAGTATCTTGTGGTTTTTAAAAAAAACTGTGAATGCAGTTCTTGTTATTATGAAAAATAAATTGATGTCTTCTTTTAGTAAAATATCGGAATCAGGTTCAAAGAAACAAGTTTATATCAAAATTTCATATAAATAAGTTGGATATAGGGATTGTTCAAAGTGTTCTGAGCAACCCCGAATCAGAAGCCGCATTGTACTTGTGTAGTTTAGTGGAATGCTGCCAGTAAATTACACAAGTATGAAATTTAATGTAATAATTTTACAATTCTTAATTAATTAGTTCAGTACTCGTTAGTTTGTTTCGATGGAGCTGTCATGTCATCGGACAAAAGCTCCTAAACAATAAAAGATAAAAAATAAAAAAAATCTTGAGATGCTTTTTTGCATTTTAAGGTCGATCTTAGACTTGAGAACTATCTATCAATACAGGCCTTGAACATACTGTAAGTAACAATTATGCTGAAATTATTGTTTCAGGTATACTACAGCTGACAGCTTATTTGCGTGGAAGAACAATCCCGGATTCGAGTATGATGCCGGTAATTGGATGAATTATATAGATATTTTTTAATTAATTATGTGCCTAATATTATCTCATAATTTTTCTTTAATAATTATTTAATAAGTACTTACAATTGAAGCTGTCCTTATTAGAACCTAAAAAAAATATTCTCCAATCATATTAACAAAATGGACAAAATGTTTTCTAAAACTGTAAACATTGATCTACATATTGAAGACAAATTTGAGTTACGTTTTAATGGACACGATTCAAACTTGTATGGAGAGTGGTAATGAGTCTCCGGCAGAATCCAAATTTTTATGACATACATGGAGTGCTCTCAATTATAAATCGTTTGACAAAATACAAGAATTTATTTTATCCCCGTTGTTTTAAATATTTTGTATAGTTTAAAATAGCATAGTTCGTCAGTGAAGTTACTACAGAGTTTAGATGTCTAGGTTGGTGATGCGAGGAGGCGTTGAGTTAACTGTCTGGGTGTTTAGGTTTGCGGTGAATGGAATGACTCAGCAAATCTTAATTACGCACCCGAATCTTTACATCAAACTTCGGTCTTCTTTTATCTCATATGTGAGGTGAAAGGAGTTTGAAGAAGGCCTGTGTTATGGCTTCATTGGTGCGACTCTTTAGGCTACAGAGGCTATTGATATTATATCACATGATTATATTTTTGTTTTTTTATTCTCCAAAGGATTTAATAAATCCTGGATTACTGAAGTCCATTATAGTTTCGTGTCCATTGCGTATATCATGCCGTCCCTGGTTTAATGTCATAATTTGGCTCGGCGATGTACTAAAGGACAGCGATCTCATGCCAAATGATATTCACAAAGAGCACTTATAATCGTAATTACATATGATATATAGTCTCCAATTTCTGCAGCATGTGCTATATTAGTATCTACTGCTACTAGTTTCATGATATCCTTTATCTCCTTTATGATCTCCTTTTAAATTTTATCACTAACAAAAAAAAACATTTTTCTTTCCATTTAATTTCTGTAATAAAGTTACTTTAAATCTAAAGAATACTTTTGCTACAAAACAATAAATTTAAAGCGGGAATCACACAGAAATAAGCCATGCATTGCTTTAGGTGTAAATGTTTTAAGTTAGATGATTTTTCTATTTTGCCTATAATGAAATAGCAAGGAAAATATTAGACTTTTACTTGTTTCGTAGCGTATTGTGTGTTGATGTGTTTAAGGCTCGCGCTTCTTACGGCAGACCGTACCGCAAAATGCAAAGGGGTCAGTATCATTTTGCAGCCTTTGCGATATTAGACTAATATACTTTTTGATTATTGCTTTCTGCACATTCATTTTGAAAAAATAATAAAAGTTAAAGGCTCACTGATTATTTTATTTTAACAGTTTTATTTGTTTCCCTATCTACTCGAGACGGTATATATTACTGATAATTAATTTCGACACCGCTAGAATTAAAAGTAACTACTACAAAATCAAAGCAGTCATTGAGAATCTACTCGTAAAATAGAGAAATCAATATTATACTCCAGGCAAGAGTTTAGTAACAGTTAAGACAACAGTAAACAGTTAGTAACAACTTTAATATCAATTTCAATTAAATAATTTGTTTTTATTACCTCGTAGGTAGAGTGTAAAGCACTATGTTTCCTTAGAGAGAAAGTGCTATTCCCAACTTGGGTGTATTAAGGCAAACTATACCCTCGTTGGTAATCGGACACTTTCTGTAATTGGTGAATAATGTACTATTATTTCTAGGAGAACATTTCATGAGACACAAAAGAGATATGGGGCCTGGAAATATAATGATAACACAGCGTTTTAACGAGAAAATCGTCACACCTGGTGAGGACGTAAGTAAATTATATCTGATAATTCATATTACAATTATCCTGTTATCGCCTCCGAGATTTATTTTTCTTTACTACCTCTTAGTTCTGTAGTACCCTCAATACTACCAGCCAGTCCGCACACAGTTTAGAGTGTACCTAGTTAAAAAAAGTAGGTATCGCCTCTCTTCACCACGCCCTCGGCGTGCTCGATGCCCTTTCATGTGTGCGCACGCGCCACGTCAGCACGCAGTCTAATAAAAACCAGTTCTACACGTGATCGAGATCAGTGATTTATTTTTCAGAATAATGTCTAGCTAAAACTGGAAATTACAACACAGTAAAATGTGAAAGAAATCAGAAAAAGTGAAATGAAAAAAGTGACAGAAAAAGTGAGATTTAGGATCCCGCCCTCCCTAATATACCTTTTACCACCTAGTTATCTAGGATAACATCGCCAATGTTGTCTCTTATTCTCTAAAATATAGGTATATGAGCATCGTAACCACGCGCAGCGGTAGCCGGGCGCGGTGAAGAGAGGGGTACCTCCCACTTTTTTACTATGCTCTAAACTGTGTGCGGACTGGCTGGTCGTACTGAGGGTACTACATAGTAAAGAAAAATAAATCTCGGAGGCAATAACGGGATAAATCAGATCGAACTTCACTTAGGTAAGTTCGTTTGATCTTTTAATAATGAAACAAAAGTTGAATCTAGTTTATACAAAATTTCGATGTTAAATGGTCCCGGTCTTATAGATTGTTACAAAATCGCTTCCTATCTGGCATCAGTTTATAAATTAGTATATAAAAAAAGAATGGTTATTGAAATTGATGGTAGCATCTTATGGTTTTCGCCGCACTGAATATTTGAATAAAGCCAATTGCCAAAGCCATTGAAAAGCGGTTGAACGAATCCTCTAAAACCATTTTCAGTTTAAAAAGTACACACATATCTTTCAATTTTATTCGGTAGGTAAATTTGAAACTGAAATTCATGCACAATATTTCAGATAAGTTTACAATGCACAGCCACGTCTGCTAGACCGCCGAGATTTATATGGGAGAGAGACGGCGTTGTCATATCTTCCAACACAGAATCCAGGTACAAATCTTTTTGGGAATATAAAAACTATGATTTACAGTTAAAAAAGTTGCCATTTCACTCTTTCTTCTTGTAAAACTATTTTGATTTTTTTAAATGGTATTCAAGTGTAATAACTTTAACTAATGTATTTTGATAACGATAATACACTATGTACTTTTACAAATTAAATTTTATATCAAGTTTTACTTAAAGACGAAACCATGAAACTGTCTTCCTATTTTGGTCCTAATTTTTTTCGTAAATGTAGAGCCAAAACATTCACGAAAAAAGCGTAAAAAATCTTGTAAATAAATTGTATTCGTAAAGTTAACTTTTAATGTATCATGATCATCAAAGTCGTCTATCGTACTTCAACCCAAAATTTAAATTTAGTATGATAAGTGCGAGTTCTGGAGTGGAGACCGCGTTTAGGCAAACGTAGTGTAGGACGTCCACAGGCACGATGGAGTGACGATTTGCGCAAGGTCGCTGGCAGGAGCTGGATGCGAGTAGCCCAAGATCAATCTGAGTGGCGTGCATTTGGAGAGGCCCTTGTCCAGCAGTGGACTTAGATGGGCTGTTGATGATGATGATGATCAGTACGTTCGCTCAAATAGCATAGATGGGTCGTGTAACCCGGACCAAGTCAATTTTTTATAAATGATTTCTAAAGATCAAATTGTAATGTTAAAGTTTACATTAATTTAAGAAATACTGGACGTTCATACAATATGAAAGTAACAGAAAAAAAAGAAGAATTTGGTTCCCAAATAATTGGTAATGTTTCCCATGTCTGCTACAATCGCACGTTTTTCACAATGGATGAATCTGTAGCAATATTGTATGAACCGTTTTATTGCACAATGAAACTCAGTTTCTTTTTGCTACCTAAACGTCCTTAAAGCAAAATCTTAAATGAGCCGACACAAGATTATGAAGCAGTAAGTCTCAGGCTTTTTCCTCGCAATAAAAGCCTTTTTGCGACCTTAATGAAGATGTATGACAAAGAATAACTTTTCATTAACCTATTGTTAGGAATATAAGTAGCGGCGACATTAAAGCTGTAATGTAAGTTACGTTCTTTGATTCTTTAATGTCAGTCTTAGTATTTTCTAAATCTTTCTTTTCATTTTCACTCTACACTAAGTAAATGTGCTTATAATATTTTTATTCAATTAGTTTTCATATTTCATTCAGTTAGTTTTTAGGTCTTTTATATAATGGTTTCCTTGACATAATTAATTAAATTTCCTTTTCAAAGTCATATCACCGTTCTTAACATAACGAAAACGACGCACAATTATTTGTAATTTACATTATGTAAAAAGCATATTTAAGCAGTCAACATTGAACATTATGTGTAATTATGAAAAGTTTATGAGTAGGTGTATCTCGGATAAAAATTGCGAACGCTCTATATTAGTAATTAGTAAGCTTTTCCTACTTTAGGTATTCGTTAGGGCAAATGATGTCACCATCGGGAATTGGAGTGGTGTCACACCTAAACATATCGAGGACACGAGTAGAAGATGGAGGATTGTATTCTTGTTTAGCTGTAGAAGGAGATTCTAGCGTAATGCATGTAGCTCGAGTTGATATTTACGGTAAGCAACCATTACCTTCAACATTCACAGAAAAAATAATATTAAGCATGTAATTTTTCGAACGAAGTGTTCAAGTCAACCAAATATGAACAATTATGTCTACATAAATACAAAATAAACAACATTACAATGCACATCCTTGTATATTAAAAAGTGACAGATTCATTATAACGAAGGTAATTTATTTTTTAGGACCACCGTATATTAGAGCCCTTCCACCAATCAAAGTACAGAGCGGTGAAGCAATGAAACTTAGATGTCCGTATTATGGATACCCCATAAGGTAAATTTTAATACAATTACATATTTCAATTATTAAACAGTAAGAATAATATCAAAATTTATGAGAACAATAATTATCTGACCCCATAAAACTTTCACCCTTTACCAATCAAAAACGTGCTACGAGTATTGATTAAATTCATCTTTCAGTAAGTTAGAATGGGAGTACAAAGGGAAGAAGATTATAAGCACATCATTATCTCAACATGGAAGGTACAAGAGAACATATGGAAATCTAAAAAGGAAACGCAGAAAACGGCAAATCTATGAACCGAGCGAAGACGGTGTGTTAAATATAGCAAGAGTTATAAAAGAAGAAAACGGTGAAATGTACACTTGTATCGTTTATAGTCCTTCGGGTGAAATGGCAAGAAGGTAAACTTCTAAAGACACAAAAACAATTTGATCACACGTCAATATAATTTTACTTTAAATTTGTTGCAAAGAACCATAAACAAACACATTATAGACGTATTTTATTTCAGATCCTTTGAAATTCAAGTTGTTGAAGCGCCAGAGCTAGATGAACTTCGAGTAGGCTCTGGTTTGAAAGAAGGTCAAATAGTGCAAATCACATGTAATATAATAAGTGGAGATCCGCCCTTATATTTCTCTTGGCTTAAAGACGGAAAAAAAATACCAGCTAGTTTAAAGGTAAATTCATTTAATGACTTAAATAGTGACCATTTAGTTACTTGATTTAGTAAAAGCTAACAGTGATTCGAAGAAGTTAAAGGTAATATTAAAGTTCCCTGTGGAAGCCCATATTCCAAGACATTCATTTATTCCAGATTACGGAACGAAGCGCGGAGCTATTTAGTGTCCTAATAATAAAGAGAGTTTCATTAGAACATTGCGGAAAGTACACGTGTATAGCTACGAACCACGTCGGAAAAGTTAACAAGACCGCCGATCTTTTTATAAATGGTAAGCTCTTTAGTACGGTATTCTAACTTGGTGTAGAATTATAAGGAGCCTCTGAATTTTCTTCGATATTATCTACTCATGCTTTAAAACCTCTATTAAAGATTCTGAAATAGTTAACTTATGGCCAACATTAAAGCATCCAATATTAAAGAACTTGAAATACGACAATGTAATTTTTTCTTGTTACTCAGTAGATCACTATGTTGTTAATTCGGGAGAAGCTAATACCTACTGAATTGGCTATCATTGGCTGGAGTAAATAGCCTTAACCCTTAGCTTTATTACTCTGGGCAAATTGCCGCCCCCTTTTATTGTGTGATGTAGCTTTTCATCTAGGCTTTTAAACACAACTGTGAGATTTAGTTTAATATATTTAAAAGTGTTTCCTTAACTCGTTTCCTCGTATGGAGTTAAAGACCAACACCCTTTTTACTTTCTACTACTACCTTTTTTTTCGATGACGGGGACAATAAAAAAGATTTCTTTAATTTTTATCTAAATCAAAGAAGTTCATGATACTCAGTCACAAGATCAACAACATGTTATCAGATAACATGGTAGGGGAGCCCATGTGGAGATTTTTAGATTTACTTTGTGAAGTAGGTACCCCACCATACCTTAGCCTTTTTTGTTAAGCCAAACTTCTATGGCAGCAAAAAAAATCAACAAACGAATATGTCTTATGGTAGAGTCCAAATCTTCAGTTTTTTGAATAGAAGCTACTACTGGAGGGTCCAAAATTTCCGCTTGGGCACTCCTACTTTTATACTGAAAAGTATAGTATTAAACTGTTTTTTATTTACTATTAAAGTGGCACCAAAATGGATGCAAGAACCATCAAATACATCATTGTTACTTGGACAACGTGGTGTGGTATATTGTGATGCAAATGGATATCCTACACCTCAAGTGCACTGGATGAAAAGAGATGGTGAGTGAAATTAATATTTTAATATAAATTTGGGGATAATTATGATTGCGAGTAAAAATTTAAAGTAAATGAATAATGGATTTGTTTTTTCTTTCAAGTCTAAGTAATTGCTGACGATACAGATGTCGTGGTGATTTTCATAGTTAATTTTCATCTAAAACAGAATTACAAAGGCAATACAAAACTACACTTAACTAATAACGAAAAATAAACAACAATTCTTAATCATTAATGAAATTTTCCAAGTATAAATAAAGACACTTAAAAGATACACAATCTCATGTAAATTCTAGTCAGGTGCTTGTATTACAGCCAAATAACTTTAAGTAAGTTGCTTTGGTTCCTTTGAATAAGATTTATTACATTAGTAATCGGAACTTTTGTTGGCAATTTAACTTTTTAATACTTTCTTACTTTGAATTCCTAAGAGATCAAAGGTAAGGAGAAAATATAGATACTCCACATAAAATATATAAGGATGGCAAAGAACTTAATTGGACAAAGAGTTTGGTTTCCTCAGGAGGCTAATTGGTCACGCGGTCTATAAAATATTCTACTTTTTACAACCCTTCTGCTTTTTAATACGACGAAGTAGCTTTAAGGCCAGTTTTCTTGTATATTGCCTTAGTATTTTTTTTAAGGTAAAAAGTGAAATTTCGAATACGAAATAGGTTGATAATTCAATTAATCGAAATCCATTAGTAGGAAGCGAACAAAGTAGAAAATTATTATATTCATAATAAATTTCAAGAAGAAAAATGTCTGTAACTTTGAAATTTTTAGCTACACTTGGAATTTGGCGACCAGTTCTTGATCTCGCTGGTGGTGGAGTGATGAGTTATCCTAACGGTACACTCATCATTGAAGTCGTATCTTTGGCTGATGAAGGCATGTATGCATGTAACGTAGAAAACGGAGTCGGAGAGCCTCTCAATAAAAACTTATGGATAAGCGTTAATAGTAAGTTCAATAATATTTGTGAATATTTACTTTCTTCTTTTTTATACCTATGATAAAATAAATTATTACTAGCTGACCCGGCAAACGTTGTTTTACCATATAAATTATTTCTAGGGAATTTCTTAGAAAATAGGGGTTGGTGATAGAAGGGTGAAAATTTAGGGTTGTATGTATTTTTAGTGCCACATTATAAAAAAAATGAAAATAAAATTTTAAAAAATGTTAGGGGTGGACAGTCCTTATCACTTAGAGGTATGAAAATTAGATAGTAGCCGATTCTCAGACCTTCTGAATATGCACATAAAATTTCATACAAATCGGTTAAGACGTTTCAGAGGAGTATGGTAACTAAAATTGTGACACGAGAATTTTATATATAAGATATTGTAGCTAAAATTCAATTGCTAGCAGAACACACCACCAGCATCACTATCTCCACTGACCTAGTAATGTCCCCATATGTAATGTAGTAATGAGCCATGACCCACTACGTAGGCCCAGTGCTGACTGCAGGCGCAACCAGGACCAACAGCTTAACTTGCATTTGGAAGCACAGGTGAGATAATGAGTTTTTTGGTCATTCAAGCAGAACACAATGTAAATGACTAACATTTGCTATTACGTTGAGCAGACGTGAAGTATCTTCAAGTGAACTCACAAGTATTATGAAATAATATTAGTAATATTATGCAAAAAATCGGCTTCTTTTGTCAGAGCTGACTTGCATTAAATGTTTATCTAAGCATTTAGATGACATGAAGATCGAAACTACAAATAACACTAAGTGAATAAATTTCAATGTTGTAGCTATTACTCATTAATGAAAATGTTAAAATCAAAAGGCAATAACTTGAAAATTACCTCTAGAGCCGGTGCACTTCGAGTCGGTTGGTTCTAATGTCACCACTAAAATGGGTTTGCCTGCTATTCTAACTTGCAAACCACTGGGAGATAGTCCGATCAGAGTGAAATGGTCTTTGAATGGAAAACCTTTAGACTTCACTTCTTCTAGGTAAGATATAATGTCTGGATGTAGCAAAATGTTTTTGCTTAAAACTTTCTAAAGTAAATGAAATTATGCTAAAATCGTATAATTTAAATAAACAAAAAATAATTGTATATACTCGTATGCTAAATCTTAAAAGAACAGTATTTTCATTGTGTTAAATATTGTCATTTACAAATTGATTGAAATCCAAACACCTAATAAAAATTTATTGCATTAATTAAATTGCAAAAGCAGCAAAATTCGAAGCAATTCATAGTAGCGCCATCTGTATGATTCCGTAGAATGTAAAGCGTACAGTTGTAGCGGTTTGGTTATCCCTATTTCTACTTCCCTTTTTAAGAAACAGAAAAGCTGGGCAATGCTTTTCCTTAAAAGCACACTCGAAAAGTTAGAGAATAGAAAATTTACTTTTGGTAGATGTCTCTGTTAGTGTTTGACACCGAATATTTTGAGCTCATACAATCGTGATAGTACTTGCTATGGTTTGGTTTCAGAATAACAGTATCAGAAACCCTGACCCACAATGGTGTTAAAAGTATCATTAACTTAAATTATGTTGAGAGTCGAGATGGAGGAACATACGAGTGTAGAGCTAGTAATCCATTTGGAGTTTCAACATACAACGTAAATTTGAATATACTGGGTAAGTAAATCTCCGTTTGAATGATATTTACTATCTTATGTCTTATAGCACACCTTGATTTAAAATTATTGTTATTGTGTACGCTATTATTTCGCAAATAGCAAAAACCGGTGAAATATGTGCATTATTAAATTAAAAAATATTAGTAATAATTATAACGAAATAGTTTCGACTACCAACAAGCCTCTTAAAACAACGTATGTTCAAAAATTCAAATACTATCGCATGATGTTATTTAACTGCTTCATTTGCTACTAATGAGACATAATGTAAATTTAATTATAGAACCACCGACACCACCTTTAGATTTACAAGTAGATTCAGTATCGAGTAATTCAGTAAAACTCTCGTGGAGGGATACCATCAGTGCACATGTACAGTATTATACCATACAATACACTACCACCGACTTCACGATGTGGGATACAGCAAAGAATATAAATATAACGAGGTAAGAAATGTTTGACAAAATATACTGATCATGTCATTAGTTTCGAAGTACCCTTATACCTAATCCGCATAAAGATACTTAATAAAGTTATCTAGATGATATTTTCGTTGCACATTTACTTGGAAGTTTTTAATCAGCTTTATAGTAAATATGAAAATCATAATATCCATCACTACATTATTGTTACATTTATAAAATATGCTCAATAATTATAAACTTGACTGATCTTACAGACAAGATGGCGATTTAAGACAGAATATTGAATTAAGGGATTTACAACCAGCAGTAGATTACAGGGTTAGAGTGGCAGCGGGAAACCAAGTAGACTTGAGTCCTTATACCCAACCTGTCCATTTCACGACACAACAAGAAGGTAAGGACTTAATTAAACAACAGATCGAATTAAAAAAAACATAGGAAATACTTTTTACTGCCATAGTAGTAAACTAGTCACTAAAACAGTGTAATAGGGATGATGACAGGGTAAAATAAACGAAATGACATTTATTCCGGCCGTGAGAATACCAAAAAATTATGTATTTTTCTTTTGTCGATCAACTAAAAAATAAAGCGCGTCAAAGTGTGGTTGGTTCGTGACGTCACTTATAAGCAAATATTGTACAAAAACTGACGTCATGCGACATTCAAAAACAATGTATCTCAGTAATGTTTTGATTATGTGAAAAGAAAAAAAGTTAATCATCATCCCTATTCAGGTGGAGCTTCTATTCACGTTTCCGCTTATTATAAATAAATAATTAAATATTTCCAACACTCACACTCAAAGTAAGCACTGTTAGGCTTGTGTTATGGGATGCTAGGGTAACGGATAGAATACATATACAGTAATTTATATAGAAATACATATTAAACATCCATGACTGGAGTACAAACGCTCGTGTTCATCACACAAACATTTGCCCCATGAAACCCGGCATACAAAGCACTCGGCCACGGAGGTCGTCAAAGGTTATTACGTTACATTGAAAACAAATGTTAGTTTTTAACCCTTAAAGGAGAATAATGACTGTTCTCACCTTTACACATATTTCTAAGTCATTATTAATTATTTCAGCACCATCGTCGACTCCACTTGGAGTGCAAGTCCAACAAACTGAAAACCCTGGAGAGCTACTCGTCACGTGGATTCCGCCACCGCGGGAGAGCCACAATGGCCTACTGCAAGGATACCACGTGAAGGCCGTACCTAGGATAAGCGGAGAACCAGGTTGGCATCATATTATATAGCCATTTTGACGTTTGGATTCAATTTAAAACCAAATAAACAAAGGAGAAAAACTAAGAATATGTTATCCCACTTTCCCCTTTCCTTCAGAGGTTCACTCGCGCTGACCTACCTTTATCACCGACTTAGTGTGGCCACCATTTCCACGTGAACAAATAAATTTTGTGACTCATTTCTTTGTTCCACTATTCGCAAATGGAATGCTTTGCCAGCTCATGTTTTCGCTTTCTCTTATAACCCGGGATCGTTAAAGAGAGGCGTGAAGATGCAAGGTGAGGTGGCAGGTGTGGCAGGTAGAAATGCTGTATCAACTATCTTGGCGTTAGTCTATCGTCACTTAAGTGGGGAGGAATCATCTGTTGAACCAATGTATTACTTAAAAATATTTTTGTCTGTGGTTTTAAATCTGTACAACCTTTATACATCTATTATAAATTCCTTGAGTAATTAATGTCGACTGGTGTTTATTTTCGATTACGTTAAACACTATTAAGATACAAAATACCATCACAAACATCTAAGTTTACGTGTAGTCTTTGATTTTTGTATTCAGAACGACTTTTAGTGTCGTCGCACACGGGCCACCGACCACAATCACAAAACGCTGCCACCGGCATATTTCTTTTAGTTTTCATACATTTTATATGGACTCGCCACACACGGTATGCCGGTGGCCGCCACACGCTACAAATCGTCGTTGCTCGCTTCTTGTGGCCAGCACCGGCCACTTAATGCGCCGATACAAAACGCCGTCACACGTCACTCGCGCGATTCCCCACCCCTCTCTCCCTTACCTTAGTCGGCCGCTGTCGCGCGCTTAAGCCACTTTAGTAGCCGCTTCTAGCTTCTCGTGGCGGCGTTTGTGACTGTGGCGTGTGGCCTGTGTGCGGCGACACTTAAAGTGCTATGAAATTGTATTACATTGTCATATTAAAACTATAATTGCATTTTTAGGACCGACTGACACCCAGACTAAGGTGATAAAAGTAGTATCGAAAAAAGGAAAACAAGAGACTACCCTTAGTGGACTATTGAAAAATACAAGGTATATTATGAATTTATATTAAAATATAATATTATGTTTTCTACAAGGTGGTGACTTACTACTTTAAAAAATAATTTCAGATATGCAGTTACAGTAAGTGCTTTTAACTCTGCTGGTAATGGGCCATTTTCGTTACCGGTATACCAAACTACACGAGAAGGAGGTTAGTTTATAAAATCCTTATTAATGTTAGGTAGAATGCGAAAGTGAGTTTGTTTTTTACGGTTTCACGCCTAAACCACTTAACAAATTTACAAATACAAACAAATATACAAAGTACGCATATAGTTTATGATTGAGAGATAAGACTTTCTATCCCGGAAAAGTGTTAGATTCCGAAGTTAATGCGGATGAAGTTGCGGGCAGCCGCTGGTTTTAAATAAATTAGAAAAATATTGATCAAAAATAAACACTCAAAACAATCCAACACAATGTATCCATTATACACACTATTTAATACTGTATTCCTGGCGATATGATAGAATAAAATCCTAGATAAATACTTAATAAAATTTCATTGAAATCATCGAATATTCAAACATTGTCAAACAAAAATCAGACCTTTATGTGGCTAACGTTAACATTCAGTTGCTTTTCATTTCAGCTCCAGAACATCCTCCACCTGGAGTGGAATGTAGAGGCGTATCCTCATCTTCACTGAGAATATCATGGCAACCTATCACTGCTCCTGGTTCATCACTGCTCGGATATTCTGTTTTCTATGGCACTGAAGGTGAACAATTTTAATTTTAAATAACCATTGTAAATACGATGTTTTAAGCCGTGTCACCAGGAAAAGTTGTTGAAACAGCAGGCATAGGATATAAGACAGATAAACATTAATTAATTATATTTTTTCGTTGACATCCATTAATTAATTTGTATGAAGTCCCAAAGGTGCACTATGGCCAGAATCCTAAGAGCATGACATTTGTATTGTCTCAGGGTCTAATTAAGGTGTAAGGATTTTCATTAGTAACATAATTTTATTAACAGAAAAGATAATACATCAGTCAGAAAAGATCGCTTTCAGCGATAAAACCGCCTTTACCCACCATAGTTTACTATCTATTTTGTAAACCCTATAATTGTGTATGTGTGAGTAATAAAGCGTATATCTATCTATCTATCTACATAAATTCTCTTATAACATTTTCAGACGGGCCTTGGCAAAACATCAGCTCGCCTCATACAGAGCTGTACCTTCAAGCACTCATGAAATATACTAACTACACCGTTAAAGTTGCTGGCTTCTCCAACTACGGGATTGGACCGTTTTCCTATCCGATTACCTGTACTACATTGCAAGACGGTAAGATATAAATATTTCCAACATTCACACCAATTAAACCTAGCCCCAAAGTAAGCGCTGTAAGGTTTGTGTTATGGGATCCTAGGGTAACGGATAGAATACATATGCTGATACAGATATAAGTATATTTATATAGAAATACATATTAAATATCCATGACTGGAGTACAAATGCTCGTATGCATCACACAAACATCTGCCCCCACCGGGATTTGAACCCGGGTCCTCTCGAGTCGGCGACACCGTGAAACCCAGCGTATAAACCACTCGGCCACGGAGGCACGAGGTGAGATATTTAAACCTTAAGAAAATGTTACTAGGAAAAAATCCACCTGGACCAGGCAGCAGACGCACCTTTCGCTATCCGGATTGTCCTTAGATATAAACATCTAACGGTTAAATGCTTAACATAAATATGTAATGGTGAGATATAGTAGATATAGTAGTCAATTAACGTCATTAACCTATTAAAGCCCTCACACTGCTTGGGCATTTCCTATGGATGGAACAGGGAGATTGGGCCATGACATAACTCACTACGCGATTCCAGTGAACAGTACAATGTTTGAATATTCGATGGGTACTAACGACTTCAGGTGTAGCCGAAACCAACGAAGTATGGAGGAACTGGAGATGATAACATTTTATGTCGCCCATTTTATGACCGAATTTCGAAAGTTGCTTAGCTTCCACAATTTGCAGATAGAACGCGCCAACCATTTATGCCATCGAACTTCCAAAGATTTATTTGATAAACATTATAACAGTTGGCTACAACTGATAAATTTAGAAAGCAATGGTGCAGGTTATTCTGCTCTTTTATTTAGATGCAGGTTTATGATTTTGTATAATTCAAAAATGTTCAGCCTTAACTTGATATTAAGTTTTAAGAAATTGTGTTCCAGTTCCTGGTCCACCATCAGCCATCAAAGTGGTGGTGTCATCGTCCACTTCGCTTCTAGTCAGCTGGAGGAAACCAGACCAACCTAACGGAGTTATTTCACACTACACCATCTATGTGAAGCCAGTTTCAAGGTATTTTCTTGATTAGTATTTATAAATAAATAAAATTTTCGTACCTTCTTGGATAGAGCACCATGTGAATGTCTGTATTGTTTTGTATCAAAACCAAGAGTTGTACTTCGATATTTACACTAAACCGATAACACAAGTCACTGGCACTAAAGAACATAATGTTTATGAGCCGGCCAAGTCGAATGTTTTTGAGCAGGCCAAGTCGAAGTTTTTCTAGTAAAATTTTCTTTAAATATTTACTTTTAAGAACCTAACAGTTTAGTGCTGAAAATATGAATTAAAGCATGCTTTCATATATTTTATTGCGATATCAATACTTATCTTAAAAGATCAAACGTCATGTGCCATTTAGTAAGTATATTAAAAAAACATTCTCTTAAAATAAAATTTTGGTTCGTAGTACGTTAATAAAGTACTTTTGTTAAATTTCAGTACTGCAGCTCCCCAAAGCTATCGTGTAGAGGCAAACCAAGAGCAATCAAGACAGCTAACATTCCCACTAACTGAATTGTCTCCTGGCAAACAATACGAAGTATTTGTGAGGGCCCACACTTCTGCTGGAGAAGGTGCTCCAAGCAATCGGATACATGCAGAGTTATCTTCAAAAGGTAAATTTAAATTTGAATTAGCAAACGCGATTGCCATAATGCTGAAATTTTGAATTTGCCACCATTTTTTATTGCAGTATATCAATTAAGAGAAAATATAACATCAATAATTATTAATATTATATTTATAATAGAAATTAAATAATAAATAATCATTGAACAACACTTGTCTAAAATGTGAGCCTTGCAGGACTATTTAAGTTATGACAAGATTTTAAAGAGAATCCTCAATTCCCATTCATAATTATATACATAGAATAATCTGCCACTCAAATGCGATATATACCAATCCAGACGAGTACCAGCAAGTCTGTGGGTTATAAGTTGAGCTAAAAACACCCTATGAGATAATATTGTACATCAGTATTAAATTTAGCTCATGGAGCTCGATGGCATGGATGTATGGTAGTGGAGCGGCAGTAAGCATGGACGGCCTGCAATTGTGAAAGTTAAGCAATTTTGGTCGGTCATTGGATGGGTGTGACCAAAAACTTACTATCCCGAGCACCTCCGTGTTACAGAAGGCACGTTAAGCCATCGATTTCGGCTGCATCTGCAGTCATTAGCACCCTTTAATCCACATCGGGCTCGCGTGGCGGGTAACGGCCCAGTCTTTCTATTCCATTAATAAACTGATGGTGATGATGATGTAATATTAATACAGCTTATTCTAATTTGCAGTGGTAGCAGGAGTGGCTTCGTTAGGTGGTCACATATCAGTGGGTGTGGGCAGTTCGTTACTACTCGTGTGTCAATGCGTGGGTACGCCACCACCACGTACTGTGTGGTACCACAAGCACAACATTATCACGCACCACCCGCGCTTCACCAGGAACCATGATGACAGCCTGCTGATTAATAGTGAGTAATTCAAAGTCAATTTCAAACATCGGCAAAAGTCGGATCAATAGTGACTTTATTATGTTGTTCCATATCAATGGTATACACAATATTCTGCTACCGGTATGCTACCATAAGCAGAATGTCATCACGCACCACTCGCGCTTCACCAGGAACCTGCTGATCAAAAGTTAGTAGTTTAAAGTTGGATCAATAGATAGTTGATTAGATATTCGTATATCAATGGTATACACAATTCTTTGCTACTGGTATGTTTTTTTTTTTTTTTTTATAGTTAGGTCCGACAAATGACTCCACCCCACCTGATGTTAAGTGAAGGTGAAGTCCAGACGCGAAGATAGCTGATACAGCAGTTCTACCTGCCACACCAGCCATCCTCACCCTGCCGGCCTGCATGTTGCTTCTTCACGCCTCTTTTAAAGGATCCCAGGTTGTAAGAGGGAGGGAACACGTGAGCGGGCAGAGCATTCCATTTACGGATAGTGCGACAAAGAAATGAGTCACCAAATTTCTTTGTACGCGTTGGAATTGTGGCCACAGTAAGACGGTGACAACGTAGGCCACCGCGCGTGGTCCTCTGATGGAAAGGGGAAGGTGGGATAAGAGAGAATAACTCCTCAGGACACTCGCCGTGGTACAAACGATAGAACGCGCTTAGTGACGCCACATCACGGCGTAATTGAAGAGGCTCAAGGTGTTTAGTCACCTCCTCATCGCCTATGATGCGGATCGCGCGCCGCTGTAACCTATCCAAAGCATCGAGCAAGTACTTGGCGGAGCCATCCCAGAGGTGCGAGCAATATTCCACGCAGGACCGCACTTGCGTTTTGTACAACAAGCACAGTTGATCGGGCGTGAAAAAACGCCGCACCTTGTTCAGGACTCCGAGTTTGCGTGAAGCTGTTTTGATCACGGTTTCGATGTAGTCCTTTGGATTCAGGTCTGAGCGAACTTCCAGCGGTAGTGTTGTGCCCTGAAGAGATGGAAGGGGAAGGAATGGCGATGTTTTTGCCGTGAAAGCGCAAGCCTGAGTTTTCTTGACATTGAACCCAACCAAGTTCCTGGTACCCCATTCGGAAATGTGGTCCAAAGCCTGATTGAGTTCAATGACAAGATTTTCCCGTTTCTCCCTGGTTACTGCCTGCCGAGCCGCTGCTTGTCCGAGATACCCCGCATGCACTGTACTATCGTCTGCATAGCAATGAATATTCCCAAGAGGAATCAAGTCATTGATATGCAGCAGAAAGAGAGTGGGGGATAGGACGGAGCCCTGGGGAACGCCGGCATTCACTGACATGAACCGCGAACTGCTACCATCCGTAAGGACACGAATTCTACGCTCATGCAGGAAGTCAGCTACCCAAGAACAGAACTGGGCTGGCAGACCGTATGCCGGAAGCTTGGAGAGAAGGCTTTTGTGCCAGACCCTGTCGAACGCCTTGGCAATGTCAAGGCTGATAGCCAACGACTCGCCACGCTTGTCGATAGCCTCACCCCAGATATGAGTTAAGTACGCTAGAAGATCACCCGTCGATCGTTTCGGTCTAAATCCATATTGACGATCATTAATCAGGGAGTGATCCTCTAGGTAGCGGGTCAGATGGTTATTAAGGACCTTTTCTAGAACTTTACATAAAACTGAGGTGACTGCTATTGGCCGATAGTTTGCCGGGTCTGAGCGATCCCCTTTTTTGGGCACCGGTTGCACGTTAGCATCTCTCCAAGTCTCCGGCACACGCCCCAAAGAATACGAGCATTGGTACAAGCGCGTGAGCACGGGAGACAACTCCGCTGCACATTTTTTAAGTACTACTGCTGGGATGCCATCAGGTCCACTAGCTTTCCGGACGTCGAGTGATTGCAATTCGGCACGAACCTCACGCTGCCTGATTTTAATATCAGGCATCGTTGTGCCACAGTGAGGTAATGATGGTGGCAGTGCATTGCAATCATCGATTCGGGAGTTAGCCGCAAAGAGTTTTGCCAGTAAATCGGCTTTCTCCTGCGGCTTATGAGCTAGTGTTCCGTCTGGGCATCTCAGAGGTGGCAGCGAGGGCTGGCAGAAGTTTTTTTGCACGGCCTTGGCCAAACGCCAGTAGCTACGGGAGCCCGCAGGATGCGTTATAAGTTCCTGGCCAACACGTGCAACACGCTGGGCATCCGCTCTGATGTAAGCCTTCTTACAGGCCTTGGAAGCAGAATTGTAGGCTGCTTTGAGTGAATCGACCCCGGGATCCTTGAGAGCGCGGCCTCTGATCCAAGCACGATATGCCGCTTGCTTACGCGAAGCAGCTTCAGCACAGTCGTGATTGAACCAGAGGTTACGTGTGCCCTTACTGATGAGATCAGAATGAGGAATATAGTATTCCATACCCATTATGATCTCCTCAGTAATGGCAACGGTACTGCCCGATAGGTCCCTGTCACTGAAGCAGCGCTGCTTCCAAGGGACGGACGCAAAGTAATCACGCATACCGTCCCAATCTGCCGACCCATAATGCCAGATACGGCGCTTGACCACTGCTGGACGCGGAGGCTTGGCCTGTGGTGCTTTGGCAGATATCAGGCAGTGGTCGGACGAGCTCTTACCACAACCTGATAGCGCTGTGGATGGGTCGTGAGCAGAAGGTCCAGTAAAGAAGGCGCTTGACTTGGAATATCTGGGATCCTGGTGGGCTGATCAACCAGTTGCTTCAAGTCATGCGTGAGAGCGAATGTGTGAGCAGAGATCCCTGCATGGTCAGTTTTGGAAGAACTTAACCACAAATTGTGGTGAGCATTAAAGTCCCCCAAAAACACCAATTCTGCATTGGGAAATCGCTCCTGCGCGTCATCTGCTGCCCGACTAAGGTGTTCAAAAAGTCAAGTTGTCTCAACATCGCCTGTGTGGGATCTGTAGAGGCACACGTAGACTCTGGCCCGGGGGCCAGAGTCGACGTGTACCCCCAGCATGGAGAAGGAGGGATCTTCCAAGCAGCGGAGATGGCGACAACAAACATCCGCCCGAACATACAGGCATACACCGGCTTTCGCTTTGAAGGACTCTTCAAGCACGTAGCCGGGATAATTAAGGTAGCCTGTGTCAGCAGGCGGAAGTATTTGTGTCTCCGTCAGGAACAACAATGCTGGCCGTGCTGTCTCGAGATGGTGGTGGACAGCGTTGAGGTTAGAGTGGAGTCCGCGTATGTTGCAGAACTCGACCTCAAACAGCGTTGAAGGCGTGGGGGTGTGCACCGCTGTACGTCCAAACTTTGTTATTGAGGCTGCCATGGTGGAAGTGAAAAAAAAGAGACGCGAAAACGAGCGGACGCCGTCGCGAAGAGTCCGGGCAAATAAGGGGGGTTTGTCTTCCCGATTGACTGCCTGCAGTGGAGATGCGCCGACCCGCCGGACGGAAGGGCCCCCGCACCCCCCCGGGAGTGGCCGCCGGGACCCCACGCCCCGGTCACCAACCGGCACGACGTTCCATCCCGAGATTACGCGTGACATGATGGGGCAGCCTCGCGAACTGGTTAGGAATGCTTGGGCCCCTGTACTGTGCCACGGGCGGCCAGCGGGACAGCCGTTTCTACGGGTCTCCCTGGCCGACGGGTCGATGCAGTCCTCCCGGCATCGGTTCCACGGATGCCTCCCCTGGACCGAATCCTTCGCGACAACTTCCACTCGAGCTCTGGTTGTACGCTGGCTGACCCCGAAACGCGCGAGAAGCACTTCACGGGTTTTTTACCATGCGCACGGTGGTAACAAACCAGGCGGGTGTTAGGCACCCTACCACCAGAAGAGCGGATGGAAGCTCCGATATCCCTTAGTCGCTTCTTACGACACCCACGGGAAGAAAAGGGGCGGTGAGTTGTATTCTTTCTCCGTCACCGCACGGATAAAAACCATAATCACAAAACTATCTCGCACCACTCGCGCTTCGCAAGATATTATGACGACAGCTTGTTGATCAATTGTGAGTACTTTAAAGTCAAGTTTCAAAGATCGGCAAAACTCGGATCAATGGAGAGTTTATTAGGTGGCCTATATCAATGATGTACACATTTCTCTGCTTCTGGTGCAACATCATCACGCACCACCCGCGGTTCACCAGAAACCACGACGATAGCCTGCAGATCAATAGTGAGTTCAACCTATACTAATCCTACTTATATTATAAATATATAAGTTTGTATGTTTCTGTGGTTGTATGTTTGTCTGTTCTTTATTACACAATCACGCAAAAAGGGGTGAACAGATTTGGATGAAATTTTACACACATATAGTTTATAATCTGTAAAGAGACATAGGATACTTTTTATTCCAGAAAAAATATACGTATCTGAGGCTTTTCCAAAATAACTTAATCTAGTCGCTGGCGGCCGCTAGTAACATTATAAATGCGAAAGTGTGTCTGTTTGTCTGTTACCTCTTTACGCTTAAACTCTTAACCAATTTACATGAAATTTGGTACAGGTATACTTTGAGTCTCAGAAAAGGACATGGGATTTTTTATCCAAAAGAACATTATTTCAGAAGAAGTTTAAGGAATGGAAGTTTTTATGAGAAATCAAATGAACTACCCACCCATATAGTTTAAAACAAAGTGTTCGGCTTGAACCAATAAACCGTAATTCTAAAAGTCCTATTTTCAGCGGCAATAACCAACAGTATGGTTTTTCCAACAAATCCTTGGTCCGTTTTCCTTGAAAAATAGACTAAGGGCAATACTTGCTTAAATTTGATAAAACTTTGATCTACAGTACCTACTTTCAAAAAAGTTGTTTTTTTTTTCAGATATTGATCAATCGCTCAGCGGCAATTACACGTGTCTCGCGAAGAATCTTTATGGATCAGACGCGGTGTCATATGACGTGACAGTGCTGCCAACACCAGAACCACCCAGTTTGAAGGTCATAGCCCACAAGAACACATTGCATTTACATTGGGATGCACCGAGGAAGATCGGTGGAAAATTGCAGAAAATAAGTACGTAATTCATTGAATTTGAATAGTCGAATCGTTATTTAGTACTAGTTGCGAGAAGAGTCCTTCAGACTACTTAGGTCTATACCTATTTCCTATGCTGAGGATTATATCTAATGACTCCACTGTTCCCAGTAGTCTTACCAAGAAGTCCAACCAGTTTAACTAGTGGAAATTTCGTTACCAATAGCCTTTCTGATAGTAAGATTTCGATGGTGTTATTTTTCCTCATTAGTTTTACTATATCAAAAATTATACATACATATGTATATACATACATATACCTATTTAATATATAACCATAGACCTCGTAATTGATAGACATCAGTATTGATACTCATCAGTAGCTTTATCAAGTCTAAGAGAATAAACAAAAGAAATAAAGAAATTATAATTGCATTTTGTCCAAATGACAAACAATCCTTTAACCATTTTCATTACAAGAACCTCCTACTAAGGTATGTTCTCATGGTACTTTTTTCAAAATAATAATTTTATAAATGTGTATGGTTTTAATACAAGCTTGACAGGGGGATATAGGGTACTCAATATACAATTTTAAAAGAAAGTTTTAATGTCTCAATAACTAAAAGAAACACCAGTACTATAGAATAGATACAATTTTAAAGATAAGTTCTAATGTATCCCCACATCAGTACTGTTGAAATCCTGATATCTCCCCTTTTAGAAGTAATACCTACAAATATTTCGATGAGGGTGCAGTATGCAGCAGTGTTTATGCTGCTCGTGTCTTTCACTTGGCAGCATATTGAATTCTGAGCGAACTGATAGATTCTTGATTTATCTTCGGTCATAGATTGAAGTTCACAAACTATGTAGATCAACTACTTAGATGTACATGAGAGTAGGACTATTGGGAATTTTAATGAACTGGTAAGTCCACTGGGTACAGTTCCTGGCTAAAGTTCCCAGTGGTCTTACTAGTGAGTCTATTAGGAAGGAAGTTCCCATTAGTTCAACTAGTAAGACTACTTGGTAAGACAATAAAATTAGGAACAATTAAAAGTTAAAATTAAGGCATTTTGCAGCTTTTTGAAAGGAAATATAAAATTTTATTAGCAGATTACAAAATCTAGACAATAAAAATAAAGTATCTTACAACAATATTAGCAACTAGTAGACCTGAATCACTCTTAATTTAAAACTACATAAAATATTGGGTACTACTGTACATTTAATATTCATAATTATCTTTATCTACATCTATGCCTTAAAATCGCTATTAAAGATTCTGAAATAGTTAGCTTATTGCCAACATTAAAACGTCCAATGGCATAATAAAGAAAAACACCCAAACGGGTGATATGATGGTTATTTTTTTAAATAAATTACATTATAACGCTCATCAGACAGCTACATTTTCACTCCTGGATGCGTGGTATTATGAATTAAAAGAACATTGTCATTCACGCGCGCTTCACTACCACAGCGCCGAAACTTTTTATGAATTTTAAGTTCTTGGAACGCCCCATGATTTCAGAATCATTTATAGAGGATTCATATCATGGGTGTAGACAAAGACTTGTATGCAACTATTATAATTAGGTATTAAAACACTGATGTGATACTGTTATCCCACATTGGTGAGTTTATACCCCTCATTATACAACAGTTGCCTAAATAACTATTGTGTTATACCAGGTTATAATCTAACGTGGAAAGAAGCCAACGGCTCCTGGCAAGATGTATGGACTAACAAGGTCACCTCTCTACAAGGCACACATGAGTATACTCTGCAGAATCTGAAATGTGGCACTAAATATTCCATTAGAATGACCGCTTCAAACAGCGTTGGTGCCTCACAACCGACTTATATCGACGCTACTACCCTAGGAGGGAGTAAGTATAATTTAAATATTTACATGGACAAATTGATGTTAATGTTAAGTTACTGTTTCAACTTAATAACGTAACAATAAGAGCGAAATTAATAGCGCAAGCATCCCCATGGATTCCTTCCAGAAATTCAGACATAATAGGAATGCAGGTATTATAAGAAAGCACTCATTTTGATTTGAAAATAACACGTTTAAGGAAACAGGCATTGTAATCCTGAGTGATATGTTCATATGTGAAATCTCGTAAAAAGTCTATATAGTCTGTGGGTGATAGTGAAATTGATAATTTAAGGAACTTTATAAAAGCAGCAATACCTACTCTTGATAGAAATTTTGTCCATCTTGTTACTATTCTATTAGACAAAACACGACTTAGGAAACCATCGTAATTATTATGAAGATCGTGCCGTAAAATACACTACAAAAAAAATTTCACACTTTGTGTTAAACCTGAGGCAAGTCCTCAAATTTATTGTTAATCTTTTAACCCGTTCACAATCCCTCTTATTTGTTATTTGACAAATAAATTAAAGTACGTTAAACCGTTTTTGTAGTTCACACGCAGTCTTCTAGGATGCTTTACTGATATGCATTTCTTTTTTTAGTTCCTATATCTCCTACTAGCACCGAATGGTTCTGGAGCAACGCAACTCACGTATTTATCCAACTTAGCGGCTGGGACGACAACGGCTGTGAGATCACCAAGTTTGAAGTAGATTATAGAGAATATGGAAGCAAGATTTGGAAAAGAGCTGACAACAAAATTGTAAGTATTGATTTATAAATGGCCCACGATCTCACAATTCTAGTTTTTTTTGTTTTTTGGTAACTTTCTATGTAATCAGGGTTAAAATCGAACTTAAACCAAATCAGCATATTATTTTATAAATAAAATTTTATAACAGCGACGGCATAATAGAAGCAGCTTTATATCACCCTTATACTAGTAGCACTTATGCGATTTGTAATTAACAATTTCAATTACCTCACGTAAGGACGTCTTAATCATGTTGCTGAAATCTGCACCTGAAATGAATTGCCAACGCTCACATATTTATTTATTTGCAATAATACGTATTTCAGATACAGAATTATTTATGAATAATACTAATAGGAAAAAAAATTGTTTACAACAACATTAAATTTCCTTTTCTTAGAAGCTTACTCTTTGGCATTTTGTCTGGAATAGATCGTTTAAATTGTTACTTCGGCCTGGTATGGTATCTTGAATACGAGGTGTCGAATTTTCACCACTTTTTGACATTATGGCACCTACACCTCGTTGAAGATGCTTCTTATGTTTAGCTTTAGCTCTTCTATAGCACTTGGATTGTTCACATACATCAGTGATTTTACATAACCCCAAAAAAACTCAAGGGTCATTAAATCACATGATCTTGGAGACCATGTCTTATCCCTCTTGATATCCGAATCGTTGTATTTCTCTTTCAATAAATTGATTATTTTTCTGGCAATATGAGAGATGACGGTATCCTGCTGAAAAAAAAGACAATTACTTTCAATTGCGAACAAAAAAACGAATTATGATCTAGTTATGATCACCGATTCACAATTAACCCACTTTATACTACCGTCGTTTTAAAACAACTCATAGTAAAAAAATATTACAAAAGATGTAGACATTGTAAATCTTTTTGATTAATTACGATTTGTATATTATATAAAAGTAAATTAAGCTGTTTTAACGATGAGTTTATCAAGGTAAGTAAAAATCATAAATTACACTATTTATTGAGCTAATTTATATCATCATGATATTATTATCATAAGCTGAAAACAAAATAAAAGTGGTTCAGAGGATTTGACAAAAAAACTAGTATTGTGGATATAAACGCCAATAGTAAAATATACTACTTTATGCATTGTAAACGCAATCGCTGTTTTTTTTAATGTGAGGTAAAAATAACGAGATATGAAGCTTATTGAAATTGTAGGGGAACGGCAAGACACAGCGATTGTTCTGTGGTATATTCACTTATTATATTGCTACCCAAAATATAATGCTGATAAAGTATTGTTGCATAATTTACCTGGTTTGCCAATGCGAGCTCAAGCAGACATTTAGTTAGGTTCTCCAGATACTGAATAAGATGATTTGTCTAATTGGCAGTGGTAGTATCAATGGCATGCAGTAACATTTACACTTGATGTTCTGTGACATGTGATGGACACATGAAAAATAGAACGAAATATATATTTGGGTAAAAACTTCTCGTTTGTATTATATCTATATTTCTCTATTATTATTCATTTTCTACCATAGGTTGCCTGGAAGAGATTGCTGTTTAGCAATAAGGTCGCCTATTGTATAATCTTCTTCATTTTATAAGTTTATGTCTTGTGTCCTTTGTTGTATGCAATAAAGAATATTATTATAATTATAACAACTGGTTCAAATCTTATCAAGGACATTGTGATTAAGACTTGAGTCAGTACAGAAATCACGGGTTGGTGGCATAATGCTGATGATTTATGCAAAATCGACACTCAGCATACTTCCATTTATTTTTTGATATTTTTTTTAATCAATACCACATATTTAAGAACTGGGTTAAAGAAACTTTAAACTAACTTGAATCATATGAAAATCGCGTGTCTAACTGACCATTACCAGCCAATAAAGAAATGACAAAGACAAAACGAGGTTTGTTCCGATATCGATGAAAGAGAGGGTAGATACGGTACGCTCCTACTTGCATCAAAAAAAAACTGATCCCCCTTTACTACATATGCAACACTCACACATCCACCTGTTTGTAACGATACAATCGAACGAACGAAACAGCAATATAAGTTTCAACGGCAGCGCGAACGGGACGGCGAGATCCGCGTCACTGCAATACCGACCCGAACGAAACAGCACGTTAACTTTCAACTGCAGCGCGAACGAGACGGCGAGATCCGCGTCACTGCGCTACCGACCAATCACGCGACCAGTACTCGACGTCACTACAGAGTAGCGACAGAGAAAAAAATAAAAGTATTTTTTATTAAATATAAGTTTTTTATTAAAATTCAATAAAAAAAATCCACATTGAGCAATTTTCAATCTACTTTGAAAAGCTGAGGGAATGAAACTGTTTACAAGTATACCTACTAAAAGTAGTAGTAGTAGTAGTGTACATGTCATTTTTTTTGAAATGTTGTGAACATACTCGACTATTATGAGTCCGTAGCCACTCCGGTTCTAGTCGTTGCTTTCTAAGCACAACTGACCATTTTTGTTGTATTATTTCAGCTTTTGGAAATCTGTCATACATTAAAATTAATTAATAACACTAAATGCAACAAATTACCTACAAAGAATTCACAGAATCTCAAATAAAAAAGTTAATGGTTCCAATGGGACCACATCGGAAGTGCAATCTCTCGAATATATTTTTTTTCGAATATTTTGGAAATCGGTCCACAGTTGGCGGAGAAATCGGTGAACATACATAAAAACAAAATATGCAGTCGAACACAGAATCTCCTCATTTTTTGAAGTCGGTTAAAAAGCGACATTTGTATGAGACATTCAAAACATATTATTAGTAGTTTAATTTATGCATGCTATACAGACAGACAGACCAACAAATTAGATTAATCAGGAATTTCATATTTCTTCATTTTATCTTCCTAAACTAACTTGCCATTTTTAGGTTTGAAACTACTAACCATGACTTAATAAATACATATTATGAAAACATATGATCTTGCTATTTTAGACGCCCTTATTTTATATTATTTATGCTGTTTTAATACAAAATGAAGCATGGGAATCTGATCAAGAAATCAAGACCCGGATAGAAATCGCTCGAGCCTCTTTTAATAAAATGAGGAAAGTTCTTTGCTGTCGTCAACTGAATATAAAGCTCCGAGTCAGGCTACTCATGTGCTATATCTGGCCTATTGTCATGTATGGTTGCGAAACGTGGACCCTGAAAGAAGACACTACAAGACGTCTACAGGCATTCGAGATGTGGTGTTACAGTCGCATGTTACGCATTAGTTGGACGCAGAGGGTCAGGAACGAAACCGTGTTTCAGCGCGTTCATATATCCCGGAAAATGTTGCCTTCTATCAAAAAGCGCAGTATAGAATATCTTGGCCACGTGCTCAGGAACGATAGATACATGCTGCTGCAGTTGATAATGATGGGCAAAGTGGACGGAAAGAGACGTGCTGGGCGAAGAAAAAAGTCATGGCTTCGGAATATCCGGGAGTGGACCGGTATTGCCTCCGTCGAACAGTTGTTCCGGCTGGCTGCTGATAGAACTACATACAGGAAGCTAACGGCCAACCTTCAGGATTGAAGAGGCACTGGAAGAAGAAGAAGATTACAAAAACAATTTTAAACCCTACAAAGAATGAAAACGCCATTTCTGTAAGTACAGAGTATATTAAAGCTAAAATGTCTGAAAAAATAAATAAACCTCTTCGAAGAAACCAAAATGTAATGAGTTTAATAAATGCAGCATATTTTTTACCTACATAAATTAATATTCCAAAAAAAAATTACGAAATAATTTTTTGTTGACTCTACCCAATTTTTACTCTCGACTGACATTACAATGGCAAATATTCGCGCTTATGCTTTTTCTCCCTCATACAAACGTTTACAAGTGTTGTTGTCTTTTTCTTAATAACAAATACCGAATAAGATTCAAAACAAACAGCATTATGAAAAATATATTTTATAGTACTTACGAATGAAAAGTGATGCCGTCGGTTTTATTTCTAGTTCTTGAGCAATTTGAGCACTTTTTAAAAACACACTTAGGCATTGTTTTATCATAAAATCACAAAATTTTAGCAATATTTCTTTTTGACGTTCACATGTACGTCATTTGCATGTCAAGTTGTGACTAAAGCGATTGTGGACTTGGGCCACAATTTATGCGGATCACTTTTGTGAGGCTAGTGCCGTATCTACCCTTTTTGTTTTAATCTAAGTGAAAGAGGGACGAAGAAATTATTTTGTGTAAAAGGCACGACAACAGTGAAGTTACGGTGGCATCAATGCTGTAAGAATACGCAACAAACAAAACAATGAGTTTTTCGAGAAAGGAATATAGGAAATGTCCATGTATCTCGATATTTCTCGATTATAATTTATAAAAAATTATATCAAGAACATGGGGAACGTCGACCAGAACCGATCCTTTTAGAGAGCATCAACTATAGACAAGAAATGGTATCATGGCCATACGTTTGATCGTATCATGAGTCTTCTTGGTATGATGGTATCTACTACATTGTAAAATACAGACAAGGACAGTTACTCTGATCATTTGCCACAAACAAGTCAAATTATTTTTGTTAAAACACACCATGAACTCTCGTGTAAGAAGGCAATTACTTTACCCTTACTCTTCATTCTAAAAAACTTATCGAGTGTATTATACCTACTACCATGTGAATAAAAAGTATTTAGGCATTTTTTCACTTAGTTTTATCATAAAGCCCAATTACAATACAGCATTGTAGTGAAACTGTTTTCTGATAACACGCATACCTGATAGTAGTGCATTCTACTACTACTGTACTACTATTGTTTATAAACGACACCGTTTTTCCGGATTTCCATGCGGTTATTTTTTTTTTAATTTTTTCCATGTTATTAGACAGATTATAAGCCTCATATAAAAAAATATCAAAAGCAGACTCAATAAAACGTTTCAGGTGTATCTGGGTCAAGGCAGCACCGACATGTCCACTTGAGCCCCTAGCCCAAAATATGCATCAGATATTCATTCTTTCATA